CGTGTCACGCCTCTCCTCACAGACCACGGCCTCAGCAGTCTGGCCCTGCCCCCCAGCCCACCCAAGTGCCAGTCCCTCCTGTCCCTGTACCACTTCTATATCTGGACACACCACTGCGCACGGCAATCTCTATGTCAATGTGACTGTGGGTTCCTCGAAGGCAGGGCTGTGTCTGATTTATTTCATCGTCCCCAGGACTTATCTTGGCAGACGCTGGATAAATCTCTAGTAAGTTGAACTGGCTTTGAAGCCCTGGGGTCAGGGGGACCTGAGCTGGTTCTGAGGAAGACTGGACTCAAGCTCCACCAGCCCCCTCAGCCGTGGGAAGAGGCTCAGGACGTCCCAGCAGCACTCAGGGATGGCCTGGAACTGCACAGGGGCACTCACCAGGGGTACTTTCTGGAGGGAGCCCAGGACTGTGGAGGCTGGACAGCCCATGGCCGTGAGAGTGGGGAACTCGCCCTCGGAGAGAATGTGCTGGTCACCCTCAAAGTTCTTCTCATCAAACAGGATCCAGCTGGGAAAGGGGAAGGGTGGGGGGACATGAGTGGATGGGTATTTGAGCCTGCCCTGTCTTCAACCTGCGCAGGCCCCCTGAGACACAGCAGAGTAGATGCAGACTTGATCACAACCCCCAGTCCAGGAGAGGTCAAGGATGAACAGGCACTGCAGCAGCCTTAAGAGGTCAGACTTAAGAAAGGACTGATTGAGCCCTGACAGGGTAGCTCAGTAGGTTAGAGCATTGTCCTGATATGCTAAGATTGCAGGTGCATGGACGAAGAAACCAATGAATGCATAAATAAGTGGAACAACAAATCAATGTTTCTCTCTCTCTAAAATCAGTTTTGTTTTGTTTTGTTTTGTTTTTTAAAAGGGGTGGGGGGAAGGCTCTGGCTGGTGTGGCTTAGAGGATCCAGTGCTGGCCCACAAACCAAAAGGTCGTCAGTTGGATTCCCAGTCAGGGCACATGCCTGGGTTGAGGGCCAGGTCCCCACTTGGGGTGTGCGGGAGGCAACTGATTGATGTATTTCTCTCACACATCGATGTTTTTCTCCCTCTCTTTCTCCCTCCCTTCCCCTCTCTCTGAAAATAAATAAAATCTTTTTTTAAAAAGCCCCTAAGGAGGAAAATTTGGCCATATCAAGCAATTATTCAGCAATCCTATTTCTTGGAATCTATCCCAAGGACCCCTCCAAAAACATAAAATAACACAAGCACACATGACCATGCATTGCAGCACGGTTTGCAATGGCAAAGAGTGGAGGCGGCCCAAATGTCCATCAGTGAGGGACTGTCTGAACACACTAAGGATGTGGAGTATAATATAGCAGTAGAAAGGAATAAAAATTACTTCTTAAAGAGATATAGTTATCTCCAAATTGTTAAGTAAAAAAAAAGTATATTACTGTAATTTATAGTATGCTTCTTTTTTTTTTTTTTTTGAGGATTTTATTTATTTTTAGACAGACAGGAAGGGCGAAAGAAAGAGAGTGAGAGAAACATCAATGTGTGGTTGCCTCTCACACACCCCTTACTGAGGAACCCGGCCCGCAACCCAGGCATGTGCCCAGACTGGGAATCAAACCCACGACCCTTTGCTTCGCAGTCTGGTGCTCAGTCCACTGAGCTACACCAGCCAGGGTAGTATGCTTCTTTTTAAAAAACTGAAATGTAATTTGCATACCATAAAATTCACTCTTTTCAAGTACACAATTTGGTGGTCTTTAGTAGATTCACCAAGTTGCAGTATATGTCTTTCTGTGTAAGAAAATGAGGAAGGAGGGAAGCAAAATATATTTGATTTCTATAGTTATATGTAAATTTATATGGATATATATTTAGCTATATTTTCAATGGGTGAAACAATGGGAAGAAACAATGGGTGAATAAACTAAACACTAAAAAAAAAAAATCACCTGCAGGGGAGGGAGGGGAAAATGTAGCAGAGACAGAGACAGAAGCTAATGTTTTTAAGTCTTAACTTTGGAACTGCATGGACTGAATGTTCGTGAGTCCCCCCAAAATTCATAAGTTGAAGGCCCCAACCTCCAATAACGGACTGTGGGAGGTAAACAGGGTTAGAAGCGGTCCTGAGGGTAGAGCCCCCGAGATGGGATTAGTGTCCTTGTAAGAAGAGGAAGAGGCAGGAGCTTTGTTTCCACCATGGGGGGTGGGGGTGCATGTGGTAGCTGGAAGGCAGGAAGAGGGCCCTCACCAGGAAGCTGAATCCGCCAGCACTTCCCAGCCTCCAGAACTGAGAGAAAATAAATAAATTGTTGTTTAAGCTACCCAGGGTATGCTGTTTTGTTATAGCAGCCCAAGCTGACTAGGACAGGAACACTGTAAATATTTTATGTAATTAAAAAACAGAATTAAGCCCTGGCTGGTGTGGCTCAGTGGACTGAGTGCCGGCCTGTGAATCAAGGGGTCACGGGTTTGATTCTGTCAGGACACATGCCTGGGTTTGCAGGCCAGGTCCCCAGTTGGGGGCACATGAGAGGGAACCACACATTGATGTTTCTCTCCCTCCCTTTTTCCCTCCCTTTCCCTCTCTCTAAAAATAAATAAATAAATAAAATCTTTTAATTTAATTTATTTATTTATTTATTTTAGAGAGGGAAGGGAGGGAGAAAGAGAGAGAGAGAGAGACATCAATGTGCGGTTGCTGGGGGCCGTGGCCTGCAACCCAGGCATGTGCCCTGACTGGGAATAGAACCTGAGACCCTTTGGTTCACAGCCTGCGCTCAATCCACTGAGCTATGCCAGCCAGGAAATAAATAAAATCTTTTAAAAAACAGAATTAAATAAAAATGAAGGATATGCCTAAAAATTAAAATAAATTAAATTAAATCATTTTAATTTATAACTTTGCCTCGGGTTGGTAGCATACCCACAAAGAAAAACCACGCATTATTTCAAATGTCTTAAAAACACAATATTTTGAACAATATAAACATGCCCAGTGGTATGTAGGTGAATGTCCTGAGGACATAAAGAACTCAGGGAAACCTCAAATAGCAGTCACTGGCTTTTACCGTTAGTAGTAGTATCACTATTATAATTTTAGAAACCTAGCATGCAGATTTTGGTCTCTGAATAGTTAGGTCCCACTAAAAGGAGCCAGAGCTCCTTGGGGAATGGCTGATTCCAAATGTTTGTGTGGGTTTGGCAGGGGGTGGTGGGGATGCAAAATTGTCCTGGAGCATCTTATTGTACCAGGAAAAACAAGGAAGTTATTATTTTTTTAAAGAACTATTGGGGTCATGTCAAAAGGACCCAGGAGGCAATTTCAAGAGGCTCCCATTGGCCAGAGATGGAAAATTTGAGCACACAAAAGAATAGTGACTCCAATGGATTGAAGCATTTCAAATACATAAAACTCTATGAATTCGTAACAGTTCTTTTTTAAAAAATCTTCAATGGTCAGCTTTGGAAGCCACTAGAGCACCAATTCAGAAATTATTCTGAAAATTGATCAAGAGAAAGAGGTAGATGAAACACTGATTCCTGGGAAAAATCAAATTGCCTTTTTTCTTTTTGTATAGGTAAACAAATAGTTGAAAAGGAAAACCCTCAGCATTCCAGCTAGTACATGTAGAAAGCATCACAAAAATTAGAAAATCATTATTTTGTAACTTCTAAGGAAGTCATGGATCTAGGCAATTATCAATAGACTAACACCATTAGGTGAAAGGTAGGTGGGAAATCTTAGGATGCAGGCATCTTAATGTCATTGAAAGTGGGACAAGCAGACACAGGCCTCCTGGTGTTAGGCAGTGGAAGTCCACAGAACCATGTATATAGTATTGCCAACAAAATAAAACAAAATGCCTTTAATTTCATCAGTCCTCCAGATCTAACTACCAGCTTATAGAAAATATGGGGCAGAGAAGAACAAGTTAAAAGACAAGACTAGGAAGCAATCAGCCAAATACAGGAGAAGGGAAACTCACAGCGCAAGTTATTGGGTTTCCTCAAACAAATAAATGGTGTAAAACAAAGTGAAAAGGGGGCAGGGGCTTGTTATACACTGGAGACCAAATTGACCAATTGCAATGTGTGCACCTTGTTTGGGTCCTGCGAAAAACAAACCAATTTAAAAAGGCATTTTTTTTGAAACAACAGGAGAAATTGGACATGGCCTGGGTATTAGGTATTAATTATTGTTAATTTTATTAGATGTTATAACTTGTGACTGTATGTGTGTGTGTGGGGGGGGTCTTTTCTTTTTAGATATACATGGTTAAGTATTTACCTGTGAAATTTTATGTTGGGCCAGGAATTTTAAATACTCCACTAAAAAAACAGCAGAGGGACAGACAAAACAAGATTGGGATTCTTTATACTATATTATCTACAAGTTTTACATTTCCATTGAAACTTAATTTTGCTTTGCTTTTTTTAATGTTTCGGGACAGAATAGCTCCTTTCAATGAAACCAGAGTAAGGAAATCATTTGAAATAAAGACCCTCTTTCTGCAGCTCCAATTTCCAAAGTGAGTTAAATGTTTCAGGGCAGGTCCACCCGCCCCGAGCTTCCCTCCCCCACATCCTCACCTGCCGCCGTGGACGAGGCAGGACTGGGGCTGGAAAGAAGGGGGCAGAGAGGCCTGGTCATCCTCGAAGGAGATGTGGTCTCCCAGGAAGTCGGGACCCGAGAAAAGCTGAATCTGGGGGCGGAGACGGGAACAGATCAGAGTGAAGGAGGACAATGGCGTGAGCCGGAGAAAATGGGGAAGAGGGGGAGAGATCTCAAATGGGGGAAGAGACATGGGCCTCCGCCAGCTCCTTACCTTTGAGACAAAGTGCAGATTGTGCTCCTCCGCCTGAAAGGAGAGATCAAAGATTCAAAACATAAGGAGGGAACCAGCCCCTCGCCTTAGCTCCTCGGGCTTCAAAATCCCCGACCTTAGCCAGCTGCGGCTCTCCAGTCTCCTGTCAATAGCCCCGCCGCGGGCTCCAAGTCCCACCCTCCCAGAGGCCCCGCTTTCAGACCGCACCTGCAGGACCGGCTGAAGCGAAGCGAGGGCGCTGTTGCCTGCGCCCCAGTCGTCGCAGTTGCGGTACACTCCTTTCTCCAGCACAAACTGTTCCCCGGAGAAGCCCACCTCCTGATAGGCCACCCACCTACAGTAGAAGGGAGAGGCACGGATCAGCGGGGCGGAGCCAGCACCTCTGCAGGAACCGCCCCAGCCCGCCCCGCTGTCACGCTGTCACTCACACGCCGCTGAGCACGTGGATAGACTGCGTGTGAGTGCGATGTCCCGCCAGCTCCACGTCCGGCAGTGCCTCGCTCACCTCTACGTGGTGCCCCTCGAAGTCCATGGCCTCAAACAGCACCACAGCCGGATCCGAGAAGTCCTGGGCCCCAGGGACAGTCAGGTCTCTCCCGCCCACCCACTGAAACCCCTGGGAGTAACCAGACCCCAGGGAGGCAGACCAGCAGGGGACTTTGGGGTGAGGTGATCAGTGTGGCCTGGAGAAAAGGAGCAGGAGGGAGAGAGGCTAGACCTCAGGGAACAATTCAGATGCAGTGGAGAAGAGGGAGATGGAACATAAATTCTTCCCTCAACTAGTTGTACTGGGGGTGGGGCAGGGGGGCGGGGCGCGGGGAATATGGCTCTGACCAGAGGCAGAGGGATGGCCCAACTGATGTTGCTTACCGTCCTGATGACCCGTAGGGAGATCAGCGCCTCATCATAGCCTCCCCAGTGTGACCAGTCAGGGTATTCCCCCTCCTCCAGCAGATACTGGTGGCCCCTGAAGCCTTCCTTCTCATAGCCCACCCAGCTGGGGGAGGGTGGAGGCAGACAGACAGATTCAGTCACAGAAAACCCCTGGGTGTGTAAGACAGTTGCCCCCACCCACAGGCAAACCGGATGATCATTTCCCATTCCCAGGGTAGAGACCAGTGGGGTGGATAAGGTAGAAGGAAGGGTCCTGAGTCCTTACCAGCCTCCAAGAATTTGCAGGGACCCCACAGAGGCCAGGTGGGGGCTGTGACTGTCCTCTGGCTGCTGAAGGTTGTAGATGTCTCGGCTCACTTCCCAGCTTTGGCCCTGAAAGCCTGGGGCCTCATACACCACAGCCTGGGGTAAGGGGTAGTCTGGTTGGTAGGGAGTGATCCGGACCCAAACATACCCAGCCAGTCCAGGATGGCTCTGCCCAGCATCAGCCCATATAGCTAAGCCCTCCCACTCACTCACTCTAGAGACTAGAGGCCCTAACTCTAGTCTCTTCTCTGACCTCTGGCCTGGTCCTTACACGTAACAGCCAGTTCCCAGTGAGCCCATCAGGTTCCACCTTCCAAGACCCAGCTGCTGGCTCCCAGGACCTTCCTCTCCTGTCTTCCAGTCCAGGCCGTGATAGCCACACACATGCACAAAACCCGCCCAAACGTCCTTTTTGGCCCGAAAGCCCAGACTCTTACCTTGGGCTCCCCTGGCTTCTCCACTCTTGGGCAGCCCTGCAGAGGAGACAGAGCTGAGACACCAGCCCAGAGGTGGGGGAAGGCAGATGGGGCTGGTGACCTAGGATTTACTTGATCCTGACACCCCTAAAAATGGCCAACCCCATGTTCTCCCTATCCCCCACCTCTTGGGTAATTCCACCTCTCCTCCGGTCCCATTCCCTGTGGGAGCTCCCAGGCCCTGCCCCCTCCCCCAGACGGTAGGACAAGGCTACTTGGAACCACCTATATCCTTACCAATTTTATGGGCTTCAGGGAGCCCACACTGGGGTCTGATGTACCCCAGGCCTCAGAGTTGGGGTACTCTCCAGGTTCCAGGATGCAGGGAGTGCCTTCAAACAAGGGTTTGGGGTACAGCAGCCACCTGGGGGAGGCAGAGAGGTAGCTTCACCCCAAACACCTGGGGACACAGATTGGTGGATGGGAGGGAAGGCTTAGAGAGGAGAAGGAGGTCTTGGGGGAAAGGCCTCTGTCAAGGGGACTCTGGAGGACATGTCAGACCCCCATAATCTTGGGCAGTAGCCACTCCATCAGTGTCCCTTCCTCTGACCTGTCCCTCTCTCGTTTCACACAGCAGCTGGAGAGTTCTTTCCAGTGCACAGACCTGCTGAAACATCCCCTGTAATTTCCTGTTAGCCTGACGCTACAGTCCAGCTGCACAAAGAAGCCCTTCGGTCTGTCCCCCTGCCTTCCTCCCAGGCCTCGCATCTCCCCATTTGCTGCTCTCTCTGAACAGACTGGGTTTTCAAAGCTTAGATCTCACACCTCTGGACCTTTGCAGGTGCTGTTCCCTTTGCTGGATATACTCTTTCCCCCCTTCATTCAATTAACAAACATTTAGGAGCATCTACCCCGTGCCAGGCCCTGCTTTAGGCATCAGGGATACAGTAGTGAACTAAGTCTACACAATCCCTGTCCTCAGGGAACTTCTATTCTCCTGGGGCCAACTCCTCCCAGCTGAGGTATCTCCTCCTCCTGGCAGGCCTCTGTGACCTCTGGCTGGTTTGCTGCTTTTCTGTACTCCCACAGCTCTGTGCTCCCCCATCCCAGAACCCTGGATTGCCACGGTCTGCTTACTTCCCTCTCCCCACCAGTAGACTGAGCACTTCTTGAGGACAAGACTGTATCCTGTCGCCCATGTGTCCCCAGCACAGTGAATGTTGGATGAAGGGATTCCAGAACAGCCCAGACTCACAGTCCTGCAGAGACAGTGGCAGATGCCACCTGCATGGGCCTCTTCAGGCTCTGGGGGTCCTCCAAGGGCTCGGTTAGCTTCACTTGCTCCCCCTGGAGGCCCTTCTCAGAGTACAGGCTGATCTCTGGGGTAACATAGTCCTGAAGGAGAAGGGTGGAAAAATGAAGTGTAAAGCAGCACCCCTCAGAGACTACCACATCCGCACCTGCTTCCCCAAGTCTGCCCAACCGGGGCTCCAGGAGGCTTCAGGGAAACCTTTGTGACAGTCTCCCCAGAAGCCAGGAGGATGACTGGGGTGTACTCTTAAGGTCAGCTAGACAATCCCAACACCAAAGTCCTTGCTGGTCCCGCCCTGTTCCATTAGGACCTGAGACCAAAGTTCTCAGCAGAAGCCTGCCAAGTGCCATGCCTTTTGCCTTGTCTCTGGGTGGCCGGGCTTCCAGCCTGCTGGAAGGACAGGTGGGATGGACAGCTGCTCCCTGAGGTCTAACTTCAACTATTCCTTTAAATATAATTCCAACCTCTGTCCAGACTGGTTCCACTTGCACCTCATCCCAGGAAGCAGCAGGTCCCCTCCAAATTCTGGGCGTTTCTTCCTCATCAGAACCATTTTCATTGACTCCCTCCTTCACCCCATGTTTAAGAAGCATCCACAGATTGCAAGGCACTTTGCTAAGGGCATCTTACCCCATTTCACTTGGTCCTGTCAATGGGAGTTATCACTCCATTCTCAGACTAGGAAAGAGGCTCAGTGAAGTTAAGCAGCCTGCCCAAGGGCACACGGCCTGTAAGTAGCAGGGCCAAGAACTGAGCACCCCCCATGTGCCCGGAACACACTAAGTGTCTGATCTGCACTGAATTAATCAGATGAATCCAGGTCCACCTGACCTCAAAACCCTTTTCTCTTATACCTCGTTAGCTTCCACACCATGATGAGAAGATCGCAATAAATTGTCTACAAACGTTTGTGTGTTTCAGGAGAGGCTTTGAAACTGTCCCCCCTTTGCATGGTTGGGCCACTGCCCTGGTTAAGAGTCATCAGCTCTCGTCCTCTCACTAGGAGGACTGCAACAGCTCTGGACTCAGAGTGATGCCTCCACTCATTAAAAACAAAAACACGAAACAAAACAAAAAAACCTCCTGGCCGGCCCTGCTTTCTCTTCTGGTTCTCCCTAGTGGCCAAGATGGTTTTGCCAAGTTTAATTTTGGTAGTTTATAAACTGATGTTATAAAAACAATGTTGTTGTTGTTTTTTCTGCTTTACAGATATGAAACTATAATATTGACTATGCCTTTTCCAACCACACATCCCACCCTCAAAATCCAGGAGTGCTCCTGAGCTGGACATCACAGTCTTTCCTGGGCTTCCTGCCTCTGGGGTCCCCATCTGGTCTCTTCTCCTCCTGGCAGCCAGGGGTGTTTATAAATCTCTAATCTTATTGCATGGCATTTCTGTTTCAAACCCCATCCCGAGACCTTAGCCTGACCCTGAGTTCAGCAGGGCAGAGAGCAGGTCTCCCCAGCCCCATTGCCCGGCATGGGAACTGGCACACAGCAAACATTATCAAGTGTCCTTGAGCCAATGAAAGAACAAATGTCCAAGGCACCTGGGGTCTAAGTGTGGGCCTAAGAGCCTGGGCCCTGGCGACCGGGGAAGCGCCCATATCCACCCCCACCTGTTTCTGTGATTCTAATGAACTCTTTCTCCAGAGCCAGCTCAAACCTCCCCAGGCTGCTTTCCCAAGCTGGGGATTGGCCTCTGCCTGGCCCCACCCCCTCAAACCAAGCTGAACACTCTCCAGCTGGCTCCAAGGTCAGGAATCTACAGGTGAGTCCCTAATAACCCTAACCCTTCTGTCCCCTACTCAGTGTGATCTATCCCAGAGATTCCAACTCTAGGCGCCTGAGGCTTTCTTCCTCCTCAGGGCCTGGGGCCCAGGGTAGACAGGGCAACATCCAGCCCCCAACTCCAGACCACTCACCTGGACAACCCTCCTCAGGGACCCGATGCTTTTGAGACTCCACGCTGTCCCTGAGGCCCTGAGTTCCACATCTCCTTCAGGCAGGACCAGCTTCTGGCCCTGGAACTCTGGCTCTTCATATAGCACCCAGCTGTGGGCACAGAGAACTAGCATCACTGGGTGGGAGAGGACGTGCCCACAAGGCAGGGCTTCCGGATAGCTGAGGGGGTTTCTGCTGGGTTGGCCCGAGCACTTCTCGCTGCACTTGCTGCCCCCACTGCCCCAGGTTCACGGGCAAGCCCTCGCTCCTCAGGCACTCTGCACTCACCAGCCTCGAAGCACCCTTATGGAGGCCACCTGGGCCCAGCCGGAGGCATCAGCAATGTCTTCCCAAACCTCCCTGCTGCTGCCTTGGCAGCCGGGCTCTGAGAAGAGGATCACCTGGAGAAGACACAGAAGGGGTCCTCAGGCTCTGCTGAAGATTCCACCTCCTGTGGCCTCCTCCCACACACTTGCCCCCCACCCACCTACCTTTCCTGGCCTGGTGTTCAGTTTGCCCTGGGTCTTCGGTGCTGAACTCTGGAATGGAGGCAGTGAGTAGTAAGAAGTCTAATGGGGTTGTCTTCTTACTGCCCCCCACAGCCTGCTATTCCAAGCATCCCACATCCTCCGTATCGGTCTCTATCCCCACAGAGCACACCACACTTGTCTTCAACCTACCCTGTCCCAGGAGCTGTGTCCCTATTACTCCCCTTCCCCAGCTTCCAAGAGATTGGAGCCACTAAGCCCTTGGGAATCCACAGTGCAAACCTCTTCCTGTTCGAACAGGAAGACTGAGGCCCAGAGAGGTGTAGCTTGCACAGGGTCACACTGAGCCAAAGCTCAGGCCCAAACACAAGGCCCAAACCTCTGCCCCTGAAGATTCTGCCTGCCAGTACCATGGTCCTCATACCATCCAAACCCTGGAGAGGCCAGGCACCCTCCCTTGCCCAACCAAGGCCTCACTCACCCAGCCCTCAGGGGGCCCAGCACATTCAGCCTTCTCTGTCGGCAACTTTTCGCTGCAGAGCAGGGGCAGCTGTCCTGGCACCTTTCTGAGCCCTGGTGCCTCATGGGGAGGCAGAGCAGAGAGTTTTGTGCCCAGTGATCCGAAGGTGAGGACCTCCTTGGTGGTAGGCACCAGACCACCAAAGAAAAGACTGCCTCCAAGGCGGGAAGTAGGCCTCGTGCCCGTCTGCCACTCTGACCCTGGCTCTGACTGGGAGCGCTTGGCATCTGTGACATGCTTCTTCATCATCTCCAGAGGAGAAGAAGAGGTCTGGTGGGGCCTGGTAGGGCCGGAGTCCCAGAGGCCCCAGGCTTTCTCCTGCCTGCGCTGGAGCTTCTCATCATCACTCAGGTAGGGGTTCTCTGGTTCCTCCTCCTCTTCCTCCTCTTCTTCCTTTTCTTCCAGTGCAGGCACCTCCTGGGGGCTGGGTCCCAGTGCCCCTGGCCTGGGCTGGTCCTCCTCAATAGCGGGTAGCGTGGCGTACATGGCCAGGTAGGAGGAGCGGGGCGCTCGTGGCAGCCGGTGAGTGCGGAGGATCTCAGGGGACTCCATGCTCCGCAGGGTGTCCAGGAAAGTCTCCAGGTCGGCATCCAGGGCCACCTCCTCCTCGTCCCTCAATGACTGCAGGAGCGTCTTGTCTTCAGTGGAGTCAGGGACAAGCCGGGACTCGGGGCTGGCCCCTGTTCCCATTGGCTCTGGGTCTGGGGGTCCTCCTGGGCTGGGGGGCACCTCGCCCACTGAGGAGGAGGGAGCAGGGAGAACAGCAGGGCCCTGGACAACCTCCTTTTGGGTTTGGGTGGGAGATGAGATGGGGCTCCCTTCAGAGTCCTGGACAACCTCATCCTTGTGGGAGGATGGGATTGCAGGAGCAATCAGGCCTTGAACAGACTCTTCCTTGGTGAGGGAAGAGCCATGGCTGCTCTCAATACCCTGGATGACTTTTGGGGGGGTGCTAGGCCTGCCTTCTGGATCCTGGACAACCTCAGTTGGTTTGGGGGATGAAGCAGCAGGAGTACCGGGACCCTGCACAACCCCTTTGTGGGTGGGGGCTGTGTCAGCAGGAATATCAGGGACCTCCACTGTCTCTTTCTGGGTAAAGGGGAAGATAGGGCCGTTTTCAGAGTCCTGAACAACCTTATTCCTTGGGGAAGAGGGAGCAGACAGATTTTCTGGGCTGGGGATACACTTCCTTCTTGGAGAGGATGGAGGTTGTCCAGGAACAGTAGCAGCCTCACTGGTTCCCATAGGCATGACGGTGGCAGCAGGGGGACCTGTGATCCCCTCCTTTTTTACAGAGGGCAGGGCCTGGGGTCCCTGGGGGTCAAGGATGAGCTGGACTCTGGGGTGAGAGGGCACCACAGGCTGCTCGGGAACGTGGTCTAGGACTGGGGAAGGGGTGTGGGTCTGGAGTCTGGGAGGAGAGGGTACTGGTGTGTGGCCCTGAGAGGTGTGGAGGGAGAGCTGGGTGGGGGGGTTAGAGGCTCCCTGCACCCTTGGGACCTCATGGTCCGTAGTGTCCCAAGCTCGGACCTGGTCTTGGTCTGGGCGGGCTGCAGGGACCTCTTGGTTCTGAGGTGAGTGAGCACCCTCTGGGATACCTACAGGGTCTGGGGCAGATCTGTCTTTTGGCTCTGGTTTCTCCATCTCGGGGAGCTGTCCCAGGGCTGTGTCCACTGTGCTGCTCAGACCTGCACTCCTTGGCACCGGAGCCATGGGCCGGGGAAGCCTGCTGGCAGGTGGCTTTTGCTCAGCAGGCACAATACTACTTAGCAGCTCCAGGGCCTGACTGCGGCTGGGCAAGCCCTCAACCCTGGGGCTCACCACCACCGCCCGGACAACACTGCGGCCCCTAGGCAGCACTGGCTCCAAGGTCACAGAGCTTCTCACCCGTTGGTCCACATGCCCTCCTACTACTACAGTGGTCCGCACAGTGCGTGTCACCCGCCGTTTCTCAAGGCTCGTACCTGGGTGGGGGCTTGGCTCACGGGGCCCAGGCAGGGGCACCAAGAGCTCACTCCTTGCTATGGCTCCCAGGCTTGGTGGCTCAGTCCTAGGGTCTTGGGAGCTGCCATCACTCTGGTCCACAGCCTCTTTCAGCCTCCCCACCAGCCTCTTATCCCTGGGAGGTAGTGTGTACTTTTTGGAAAAGATGGGCCCATGGCTCTGGAAGCTCTTGGAGTCAGCCCCAACTCGGGGGCCTCGGTGATTCACAGTCTCTTCTCCCCCTGCAGCAAAACCATTGACTCCCTCTCCACGGTGACTGTACTCAAACATCTCCTTCTGAGGGGCTTCCACGTGGGCCTCCGATACCAAGGACACCTTGTGAAAACGATGTCTGCTCTCTTCCTGGGCAGGGGGCCGCTGCTGCCATGCCAGTCTGGCACTCACCACTCGGGCCTCTGTCCGAGCTGGGGACCTGCCTGCCTCCTCCATGCTGGGCTCCAGCAGCCCGTCCTGAAGAGTACTTGGTTCGGTCTGGCCCAGCTCCCTGCAGAGGTGCCAGAAAAAAAGAGAGACAGGGTCAGGAGTGGTGATGGTGGCTCTCTGTGGTGCAGAATAACTACTTCTGCCAAAGTCAGATGGATAACCTCAGGCAAGTCCTTTGGTCTTTGGGGCCTTTGTTTCTTTATCTGTAGAATGGGCATGATACTCCCAGCCCTCTCCCCATGTTCAGGTGGTCCCCCGTGCCAGGGACCTTCAAGGGGTAAAGCGGTGTCCTAAGCCTGGAAGGAGAGGGAAGGGATAGAGCAAAAAGGACATAGAATCTGACCCACTGGTCTATGGGTGGGGCTGGGACTCTGCCCGAGGAGCCCTCCGAGGAGCCCCAAAACTGGAAAACCAAAGAGCTGAAAACTAGGCAACGGTTCAGACCCCATTCTGCCATTATAAGAGAAGGGAGGGAAAGGCTGGCCTTGGCTTCAAGCAGAGCTGGGTTCCCCTTGGCCCTGCCACTCACGAGCTAGATAACCTTGAGCAGGCTACTTGCCCCCTCAAGTTTCAGGGCTCCAAGCCACAAAACCGTAATAATAAGAGTGTGTGCTCCATAGGGTTATTGTCAGGATGCAATAAGAGAGAAAGAACAAAAACTCGCCTTATAAACTAAAAGTCGGGCTCATAAACTCTGCTTTGTCACCTTGGAGAATTGTGACCGAATACCAGCAGGTGGGGACACCTGTGTGCTAGCTTTGGCCTGCAGTGTGACTGTTGGCGCACGTCTGGGTGCATCTATGGGTCTTCATGAAGCTTCTCAGGACCCAGCTCTTTGGACTTAAAGGCACTTTCCCTCAATTCTCTCCTCTCTGATCATTTCCCCTATTGTACACGTGAAGAAGCCCAGGGTCGGAGAAGAGGAGTGGCTGGCTCAGGGTGATGCACCTGCCAAGTTTGAAGGTGGGGATTGAAGTCGTATCTGAATCCACGTCCAGGCATCTTCCCTTCTGCTCCCAAGATAAAGGCTCGGATCACATCTAGATATTCCAGTGGTCCTCTCCAGCAGAGCACATCTTACCTTCACTCTTTTAAGGGGCGGGACGAGGGTCTTATTGCTTTTCTGACCCTCTTTGATCTCTCTGGGTCTCCATTACCTCCTTTATTAAATGGGGGTAATAATAACAAATGTCTTAGGAGATCTCTAAGCTCCCTAGAAACTCTCGGGTGAATCTGTTTTAATAGTAACAATAGCCATTTGTTGAGGGCTGACTCTGTGCCAAACACCTTGCTTTACGTTGTCCTTTATGTTCATGGTCCTATGGGATCCTCAAAAGAATCCCATGCATTTGATACCTCATAAAGAATAAATTATTAGTAATTTAGGAACAAATATTCCCATTTTGCAAATGAGGGGGAAAAGGGCTCAGAGAGGTTAAGAAATTTGCCCAGAGTCACACAGTATCAGAGACAGTACTTGAACCCCAACCCTAAGTGCTTAACCACCATAGCAAACTCCTCAATTACCTGGTAACTGAGACTCAATGGTTTGAAGGTTTGCTTACATTATTTTATTTCATATTTTATTTTGTTGCATTTTTAGAGAGGGGGAAGGGAGGGAGGAAGAGAGGGAAAGAAACATTGATGTGAGAGAGAAACATCAATCAGTTGGTTGCCTCTTGCACGCACCTCAACCAGACGCACCCATGACCCAGGCATGTGCCCTGACCAGGAATAAAACCAGCGACCCTTTGCTTTGCCAACAACGCCCAACCAACTGAACTAAGCCAGTCAAGGCGTGGAGGTTTGCTTTTAAAGGGGGTCACAGCAGTCCTGGAGGGGTCATGCAGCCCCCATTCTGACTTCCAAGTCACACTGACCAGGGCAACCCTACTGTTTGGCCCTAAGGACCCATGAAGTCCACCCGTTCATCCGCAGCCTCAAGCCTGTCTTCAGGTCTGCCCCACCGCCTTTCCATGAGGCAGACCCTAGACCACTCTGAAGGAAGTTAAGACCAGAAATGGACCCAGTACCCCAACTTCCCTCCCCCATCTCTGTTTTCCTCTCTCCTAAGCTGGTAAAACCCAGAACTTTGACCCTGCTTGTAGCCCAGCAGTGACTCAGGTTTTATGAGGGGCAGAGATGAAAGGGACTGAGGCTTAGGGAAGCCTGACCCGACTCGGAGACCACTGGTGACTGTAACAGCATATGACCTGGCCCGGGGCAGGGTTTGAGTGCCCCCAGAAAAGCCTTGTGTATCCGGAAGGTGGCAGGCTAAGAAGGAGCCCCAGTCCTTTTCCAAAACCAGAAGTCCTGAGAGCAGGACACCTTCAGACACCTGAAGGCCTGGACGCATAGCCCTTCACTAAGCATCTGACCCTCCCCCACCCCATTCTCACTAAGGAGCCCCCTTTCTTCCAACAGAACCCCTGTCCTCTTTGTTGGGATTTCGCCTATATAAGCTTTACCCCCTTGCTGAGCCCCCTGAGTCTCCTGTTCATTTCTGAATAACAATAATAACAACTACCATTTGCTGAGATTCCCTGTCCCTAATGGCATTAATATTAAGGGACAGAACAATGATTAAAATAAAATTTAAAAAAATATATTAAGGGACAAAGCCTGGGTTCTAAGTCATTCATTCATTCAATGTTAATTATGTTAGGTGATGCTCTACTTTCTGGTTAGGTTCATCCAAAGCCAACTTCCCCATGAAGGTGGTATCCTAGCAGTCCAGGGGTCAAAAAATTAGACATAAAGACAGAAACAGTATTTAGAAGGCCCCATAGGCTTTGGCAAAGCGACAGGAAAGCAGCTTCAGAGGAAGCCATTGATAATCAAATTAGCCATTGTCAGAATGCAATGCCTCTCTCAGCCCAACCCCACTCCTGGACAACACCCCTGACAGTCATTCATTCCTCAAGCATTCTGTCATTGGCCTCTGCTTGCATACCTCTAGGGACAGAGAGGTCATCATTTGACAGTTGACCTGACTGATCCCTGGACAGTCATGACTGCTAGAATGTTCTTCAGACTATCCTGGAACCCGGCTATCAATAGCTCCCCCTCTTTGTCCTTGCTCTGAAGATATTCCCTGATGACACAGGATGCCTTTCATAGGCCAGGAAAAGTCCCCATTCCCAGAGCCCTGCCAGGGCCCCATATCAGAAGTGGATTTGTTGGCAGGGTAACCTGTAACCTCCAAACAAGGTGTGTGGAAGGGAGAGGCTGAGGAAGGGGCGGGGGGAGTGTGGGAAAGAGCCTTTCTAACCCAACAAGTCCTGGATTCTCCGCGCTTACCTGTGAGTCACCCAGACTAAGCCAAACCAGTCTACAGGTCCACATGCCCACAAACGCATGCTATGTCACACTGGCATGCACTGACACACAGACAGACACCAGCATAAACCCACAGATTAGCACATGCACGAAAACACACACAGGCCATTATGCTGACTTACACAGTCAGACCCACCAACACACAGAGCTACAGAGACACAGCAACACACAAGTCACAGACACACAGAAACACACAGATCCAATGACACAAACACACATTCATGATACATGCACTTAGTCAATTCATAGCCCCAAGCCCTCCTCTTCTTGAAATTCACCCGTACTCGAACACGGACACACCCCCTTGAATGCGTCCACATTCCCACTTGCGGACCCAACTGTGTCACACACCTCCGCCCCCCATTATTTACCAATGCTGGCCTGGGAACCCTGGGGACATAGAAGGATGCTGTCCCTGGAGGTCCCCTTCCTCCTCTCTAAGTGAGCCCAAGCCTCCCACCAGAGTCTGTCATTTACCTGGGCCCAAAATAGGCAGGGAGTGGCAGATACAGACCCAGTCCCCCCAGACAGACCTGCTACTTCTTCTGCCCTCTGCCCAGGCCTGCTTCCTCCACCACCTTCCCTGTCTGCAGCCCTTCTCTTCCAGCTGCAGCACCAGAGCAGATCTCCAAGCCAGCCGAGGTCCCGCATCCCCCTCTTCCCTGCCACAGGACCAGGCACCCTGACTCTTGCCCAGCAGCCTGGGCACCCTGATGCTGCTTCTGCTAGCACAGTGCCACCAAACCCACCTCCACAGGGTCAGAGAAAACCCTGGAGTTTGCAGGACAACCACACTCAACCCTCCACTGTGTGCCTAGAGCCTCTATAAGAGGCAGAAGAGAGAAGTGGTTAGAGCCCAGGCACCCATGTTCAAACTCTGGTCCCTTCACTTTCTGGTTGACTTTGGGTAAGGGGTGTAACCTCTCTGAGCCTTAGTTTCTCTACTATAACTGGGGCCTGGGGTGTGGAGCAGGATTCGTCCTACTCCACGGGGCTGTTGTGAGGGTAAAATAGGATTATGTTTAGAAAACCATAAATGACCCAGCTACAACCATCATCATTAGAAACTTTTCAGAGCCCTATTTGAGGCCCAGTGCCCCTTCCTGGTGGTCCTAGAGAGATGCCATGTTCACCCCTTTCCAGATGAGTCTTAGAGAACCCACCCTTTCATCTCTGAGCCCACTCAGCAGAGTTGGGAGAGTTATTTCAATACAACTAAAAATCAAGAAAGATTGGGAATCTCAGTGTCTGCTCCTCTTTGGTCACCGACACAGAGCCAGGTGGGTAATTATTGCTGCACCTGAGGTGTTATTAATAAGCATCTCTGCTATTTTGGCAGCACAACTCTCTGGAGTTCAAAGCATAATCCTGTAACCACCTCATCTCCTGTTACCAAATCTGTTTGACAGCTCCAGGACCAGATTGGTTAAGCAACTTGCCCCAGGACACCCAGCAGCTTGACTATTCCCAGGTGGGGTCTGTGGTCTCCTGGACAGAAGCAGAGAGTGGTGGTGTTGCTGAGGAGGTGACCCCTCCCCCATCCTCTCTCTCTCCTCAGGTGGACAGGGGAGGGGAACAGCAGTGGGTTCCAGGACCAGGAACGTGGGTGTGGGTGAGGGGAGGGAGAGGAAGGCAAGTTGGGGGGAGAAGGCAGAGTCAGTTCATGCCCAGGGAGCTGAATGAATGGGCCTGGAGTTGAGAAAGTCTAGAGACGAGGCATAGATCCCCAGAAAGGGCCAGTTTCTCCTCCCACCACCACCCGACGTGGGGACCAACCTGTACTCACCGTCTGTGTGGGGACCCAGGTATCCAGGGGGCCTGGAGCTCCTGCTGCTGGGCTGAGCTTTCCTGATGCCGTGAAGCTCTTAACCGGGACTCCTGGGGTGGGTCAGTTGGGCACCCCGTGATGGGGCGGAGCCCCTGGGGAGGATTTTGCCAGCCCCTGAATTCCTCAGGGCAGAAGGGGTGGAGAGCTTGTTGGGCCGGTTTGGGCTCCTCACCCTCTTCCCCAGCAGTCTGCCCACGCCCCTGCAGGATGACAGTGATGTGGTAGCGGGTCCTCCTGGCAGAAGGACACTCAGGCTGGATCTGGGCTGTTTCTGGCAGCGCTGGCTCTGGGGTGGCAGGCTTGCCCTTTGTCCCCTCTGCCTTGAGGAGGGATGCTGGGCGGGGCAGCATGTCTTTCACATTACCAGGTGGCTCAGGATTCAGAGGGACCTCTGGGGCCATGTATGGGGGTTGTGAGCAAGGGCAGTCTGGGGTTCCCTCTTCCAAATATCCAGGAGCTGGCACCGGGCATGAGGGGCACCTGGCACCAGCAGAGTCTGCTGCCAGCGCTGGGCTCTCCAGGCCCATGGAGGCATAGTTGGCCATGTCAGAGGCGCTGCCCACAGCTGGCCTCTGTAGGCGCCCCAGGGGCTGAGCAGGCCCCCCTGAGCTGTGTCTTCGCTTCCAAAGCCAGGGACCACGGCTCCCATCCTGAAGGTCCCACTCTGAGCGGCTCTTGGCTTGGGTCTGAGGGAAAACAGAGGCAGGGCCTGGTGACAGCATCTTCCCCCTGCCCTCCAGGCACCCCTAATCACCCTTGACTGCCCTCCTTGGCACAGGAGAAGCAGAGCTTCCCTGAGGAGATGCTGCCAGGACCATGAGCTGGATGAAGGGGCAGGGCTCTGGGAAAGCCCCTGAGCATTTAACTCACCCCCTCCCATTTTACATATGAGAAAAGGGAAGCCCAGAGAGGACACCGACAGGAGTATTGTCACAAGTGAGGGCCCAACTCTCAGGCCAGCTGCTGCTTTCCCGAGATCCACAGGTCTCTGCTCCTTCGGAATCAGCTGCGCAGGGGATGAGGGGCTCCGTGAGCATGTCTGCCACAAGTGCCCATGGCCTCTGCCCACTCCAGGTTTCCAGAGAGCCTGCAGCCACCTCCCCAGTACCCTCCCACTTGAGATTTCCAGGCACAGGCACACCTGGGCAGGGTGATGGACCTGGGACGTGAGGGAGTCAGGGAAGAGGGCTTCCCTGAAATTGGGACAAGCCAACCTGTGTCTGTTGTCTGCCACCAGGGCCCAGTCTGGCTGTGGGGCTGAGGCGGTAGGGCCCAGGACACCAGACCCATACGGACACTGCCCTCCCTCCCACAAAACCACCAGTTTTCGAGAACGGGTTTATGCTCTTGGCAACAGAGCAGCCAAGTGTGAGGTCAAAAATTCCTTTTAGCAGGGACCCTTGATTCCAAATGCCTCAATTTACTCATCTGTGAATAGATGCAGCCTCTCCTTCAGCAGGGACTGAACACCTCAAGAGCCAGGCGGGGAGAGTGGTTCATATGGGCCGGGAGGTGGCGACCTGGGCTTGAATCCTAGCTTTGCTACTTCCTAGCTGCGATACCTCTCGCATCTTAGATTCTCCATGTATAAAATTGGCATGATAATAATAGTATCTGCTTTCAGGGAGTGCTATAAAGATTTCATGAGATAATCCATGCAGAGCACCAGCAAATAACAAGTACTCAGTTAAGCACTAATAATTATGAATGGCACTCAGGACCACAGAGAGACACACAGCTGCTTGAGGGGAGGCCTCCCCAACTCTAAGGGGAGGACACTCAGTACTGCCCAGCCCATGGCTCAGATGGGAAAACTGTGGCCAGAAGATGAAGTGTCCAGGAGAGATGGACCCCTGGCCCAGCATCACCCCCAGGGGTCCATGCCAGGAAGTGAGGAAAAGGGACCAAAGGTTGGGGGAGGCCAAGGTAAAGCAGGAAGTGTGGAGAAGGAGGTCCTGGGAACAGGTACAGACCCTACGTGCCTCCCCAGGGGCCAGGCATTAGGAAGCTCATATTTCCTGAGCATCTAAACCCAAACCGGATGTCCTACATCCATTACCTCATTTCTCACAGCTGCTCTGAGAGGCATTATTGTCTCCATTTTGCAGAAGGAGAAACGGAGGTTCTCAGAGATGAGGGGTGATGAGGAGTGATCTGCCCAGGGTCACCCAGTGGCAGAGGGAGGGCTAGAGAACTCCAGTTGTCTGAATCATGAGTCAGGGTTCTCAGGGTCTGCCCCTCCCAGAGCTCCTGCCCATTCCTTGCCTCCCCTTTGCATTCTCTCCTACCTTGAGGCTGACATTGTTGGTGCTGCTCTGGCCTTGGGCCAGGTCGGGGCAGCTCTGGCCACCCCAGGGCCTGGAAAGGAAGCACAAGGGGAAGGGAGTGAGGTAGTCCCCTCCCCTCCCACCCAAAGACTGGACCCAGTGGTCCTCCCCCAACTTCTCTCAGAGCCCACAGGACAGATGAGCTCCTGAAACTTGGAGAAGGTGGGGAGTCTGCAGCAGCCTCCTTTCTGCTCCCTCCCCTAACTGTCCATTCTGTTCTCAGGGACAGAGAAAGAGACAGGATGGGCTTGGGAGAACAGTGAGACTAGGCCTGTATCAGCGCCAGAACACAGAAAAAGTACAGAGCCCCAATAATTCAAAAGCTCACCAGTTGCTGTGCCAGGCTTAGCACTAGGCATTGCACCTGCATGATCTTCTTTAAGCCTCACAATAAGCCTAAAAGGTGGATATTGGTGCCCCATTTTTTAGTTAAGGAAATTGAAGCTCAGAGAAGTGAAGTAGTTTGCCTAGAGTCACACAACTAATGCGCCTTGGAATTAAGACACGGGGACCATCCTGCTTCAAAGGCTGGCTGGATATTGCCACACTAATGGGGGGCAAGATGAGGATGTGCCTTGGCTACCTCCCCTGTGCTGCTGACCTTCAGCCCGGGAAATCAGCAGGAATCAGAGGCCTGTGCCTCTGTGCTCAGGCTGGTGAGAACTGAGTCCAAGTGCAGACACGGGATGTGTCATCATGCCAGTGCAGAAGCCTACACAGTCCCTCCCCTTCCCTCCACACCTCTGAATCACCTGCACCCCAACCCCACCTCCTCTCAAGTGGGGAAAGGGAGAGGCAGTGCCACCTGGGCCTATAGGGCAGGTTCCTGCCAAACAGGGTAAAGGGAGAGGGTGTGTCTTCCAGCAGGGGAGGGCAAGGCACTGGCAGGGTGTGGGCACCCCCCCAGGCCACCCGGGCTTCCCAGCATAGGGTGGCTAGGCCCTTCCCTCCCCTCTCTCTGGGGTGAGAGAGCAGTATAAACCCTTCCCCTCACTCTGCCCCCACCAAACCCCCATGGCTCCCAGGGTGAGCTGAAGACTTGTGTGTCACAATAAGATCAGGACAAATGGCTGAATAACTGCATAGACACACAAATACTCACCGTGTTTTTGAATACAGGGCCCAGGAGCTACTGGGGTCCTCTTCCCTGTTGCCCCTCCCAGCCATCTGACCCAGCCACCCACAAAGCCTTTTTCCTTCCCCTCAAACATCAGCGGCCAGTGAATGGGCTCGGAGAGATAAAGCAATTTGTTCAAGGCCACACGGCCAGGGGCACCGAGGGTTAGGATTAGGACAGTGCTCTGGCTCGCAGTCCTGTGGTCTCTCTATCAGGCAGCAGAGCGGCCCAGGGCTCCGGATGCAAGCTCTGGAATCAGACTGCTGAAGCTGGTATCCAGCTCCACCACTCCCCAGTGGTGATGTTGGCCGGGCAACTTCACGTCTCTGAACCTCCATTTCCATGTCTGAATCACACGGAACACCTGTCTCACAGAGCTGCTGGAAGGATTAAATGAGATCATTCAAGTAAGGCACTAAGCAAGTGGCAAATAAAAGTTGATTGTTACTGCGATCTGGGATGACAGGACAAACCTCTGTGGGATCTAAGGGCAAATGCAGTGCAGCCTGAGACAATTCGGGAACTTGTCACACTCCTGACGAAAGGACAGGAAGACCAGAGGGAAGCTGTCCTGCGATGTGAGAATCAAAGTCCACAGGGGTGGAAGGAGCTACTGCATTTGCCTTTAAAACTGTCTCCCCGGGAGAAGAAATCATGGTCTGCAGGCCACTAGCCTGGCTTAGGAAATCGCAGAAGTTGTTTTAAAGTTTTCAAAGAGTACAAGAACTTTATAAAGACCATTTTCACATTCACATATTCAAAATCGACACATTTGTATGCTCCGAGACACTCACAGACGTTTATTTGAATATCCACTACACTCTAAGACACACACACACACACACACACACACACACACACACTCACTCACCCTGGGCCCCAGTGGCACCCCACAAGGCCCTCCCTCCATCCCCTCACCTATCCCGGGCTCTGGCTTCCTCTGGGGTCTGCTTCCCCCTGCGCTCCCTGCGGATCCCTAACCCAGCCAGGCGGCGGGCCAGGCGGACCCCCCAGCTCTCGTGCCGCTCGGCCATGGCTAGAGCAAGTCCCGGGCTTGGGGCATGGGGCACCTGACCGCTCGGGCCTGCCTGCCGGGCCCACCCGGATCCGCTCATTTGCGGAGAACCGCCTACTGAGAAGGCCCATCCCGCTGAACAAACAGCTGCCCCGCCCGTGTGCAGGCGGGGCACCGATCCTGACCTGGCCTATACCTGGGGGCAGCGGGTGCGCTCTGCAGGGGCCACCGCAGCCCCTGGGTGGCTGCGCTTGAGCCTCCTCTCCCGGAGGCCTTGCCCTCGCTACCTGAGGTCTCCTTCGGGCGGGGCCAACTGATACAGGTATCGCCTAAGCCTAAGCCGGGTCTAAACTAGGTGGACCGGAAAAAAGGACTGGGATGCGCTGAAGCCGGGAGGCGGGCTGAGCGAAGGGTCTCCCCACCACCACCACCACCACCACGAAGGAGGGGCTATAACACAAGGGCGGGGCCGTGCGCGGGAATGAGCGATGTCTGGTCGACTGGGAGGACCTAGCCCCGACGCTGGCATCTGGCTTGGGGCCAGAGGGGTGACTGGGTGGGCTTGGAACCCGGACTTTGATTACCGGTTGGTACTGAAGCCCACCCTGCCATTGCCCGGCCACGGTGCGCTCCTTATGAGAGTTCTCGGTCCTGGAGACCTGCACGGGGTTGGCTGCACCGGAAACGGCTGTGAAACCCACATGGGTGGGAATGGCGCCGCATACTAGCTGTCCAGCTATTATTATTTAATAATAGCTACTGTTTATGGTAATAAAAACTGGGCCTTCTGCCTCCCGGGCAGTGCTCTTTCCCACCTGATGCTGCCTCTGTAACTCTCCAGCGCGGTTAGGGAACACCTTGCACAATTGAGGGGATCCTCTGGGACGCAAGAAAGGCCGTCAGGAGGGTCCTAGTTCCGCGGGCAATCTTTGCTAGTCCTTCCCTGCCTGTAAGTCTTTGCAGGGCCTCTACCCCCTCCCTGAGCCCAGCACCTCCTTAGCCTTTTGCCCTCTGTGGTGACTGGTCCTGGCACACAGGACATCGTGCTTCTGGATCATGATGGACACTGACATCCTCCTGTGCTCCTGCCCCTCTGCTCACACAGGAGCCTCAACCCTGACATGTACAGGCCATGCATGGCAGGGAGTAACCAGTTAAAGGGGCACTATGGCCTCCTAAGAACTAAGACAAGAAGGTGGTGGGAAGCAGCAGACAGACATCTGGACAGGTCAGAGGGCAATGTGTCTCCTACTTGGCAGCACAGCCTGCGCCTTGCAGAGTCCTGGGAGGCAGGACCATCCAGTCCATCTGTGAGCTGAGATGAAGGGTCTGGTCCCAAGAGGGAGCAGAACCCAAACCCGAGCCAGAGGCAGAATGGCTGCAGGCATCCATCCCAGGTGTGGTAGCACAGGCTCTTCCTGCCTGTCTCTTGACTTGCTCCAAGGTGAGATGTGAAGTCTGGCAAATACACAGTGGCTTCCCCCTCCACTGTTGAAGCTCAGGAGGCCTCAACAGGTTGTAGAGAAAATCCTTTAATTGCTCTGCCCCGAGCCCTCCCCAGGGCAGTCCAGACACCACGACTTAGGCTGACTGCCCTTCCTTTCCCTGAGATGCTGAGGGCACCTTGATCTTGTCTGAATCCCAGCCCCTCTGCCCCTGTGATGGCACTGTCACAAGATCTAGTGCCCCCTGGTGCCACCGGGCAAGGCAGGTGAGAGATGCCAGAGGCAGGTGGGTGTGAGCTAGGCTACAGGGCAGTGGATCGTGCAGCCGACGGTGCAGCTTCAGGTGAATGTGCTGGGAGAAGCGACTGGGGCAGACACTGCACTGAAACGGCCGGGCACCCGAGTGCAGGCGCAGGTGGGTCTTGAGGTTGCTGGAGCTGCTGAAGCACTTGTGGCATATCTGATGGGAATGGGCATTGGCATCAGTTCTGCCCACACAGCTGGCTCAGGATCTCTGCTCTCCCTTCCCCACCCCCTTCCTGTAATTCAGGCTTGGAAGCCCCCTTCCCCAACCAGGATTCCACCCTGGACCCACAGTGTCTGGCACATTGGAGCCAGGCAGACCTGGGTTAGTATCCTCGTTCTTTTACACCCTGCATGACCTTGTATAGGTGACTTCCCCTCTCTGAGCCTTGCTCTCCTTATAGGTTACATGTGGCTACTGATAGTTAACCTCATCAGTATAATGGGCTGAACGAGGTAATCACATGGAAACTTTATGAGTGGAGCTGCAGCTTCAGTGGGCGTAATTAACAGTTACTGGGAACAGCCACATGCCAGGAATTGGCTCATGTAGTTTTCCCCAGGACCCTGGAGAAGCATGACTAAGTGCTAGTACAACTCCTATATTCCAGTGAGAAAGCAGAGGCTCAGAGGAGTGAAGCCACTAGTCAAAGATCACACAGCAAGTTTAAGGCAGAGCAAGGATTTGAACCCACATAGCCCAGACTCATAACCACAAAGCTGCTTTCATTTCTGCCTCTGTAAAACAAGGCAAGAGTTCCTGCCCTTCCAAGCTCCCAAGGGATGTGGTGAGGCTCAAAGAGGAAAGGAGCAACACTGAGCTGATGTTATAGACAGTGTCCTCCAGCAATGCTGGGAAGAAGGTAATGGGTACCCACTCCCCAGGACCACCCCCCCCACCACCAATTTTATTATCCTCCTCCTACAGACTTGCAACTCTATTCCGCCCTCCAAATCCCAGGATTTGGACATCCTGTCCCTTCCAGGCTAAGAGGGGTCATTTTCACTGTCTTCTGCATCCTTCTCCTCCCCCACCTTCACCTCCTGTCCTCTCTACTTGCTCAGGAGGATTGGGAATGGAGCCTCAGGTGCCACCCCCCACCCCACCAAGGGACCTGGAACTCCTTCCTGCAGGAGTGCAGGGGACGGGGAGCAGGGTCTCACCGGGCACTTGTGGGGCCGCTCCCCAGTATGCACCAGGTGGTGCTTCTGCAGGTGGGCGAACTGGGTGAAGCTCTTCTGGCACAGGGCACACTGGAACGGGCGCTCCCCACTGTGCACACGCAGATGGACCTGAGCCAGGTGTGGGAGAAAGGCTGCTGACTGCCCGGGGTCCCCCAGCAGGGCCTGGGACCCTCTCTGAATCTCTACCCACACCTCCACAGGACCTTGTTTCGACCTGAAGGCCTCTCAACCCCCTTGCCCCTCTGTCACCCTCCTTAGGGTCTCTCTCCCATTCCTCAGGATACCTTCTCTTTCTGTTGCTCTGAGGGAGCGGGGATGGCAGTGGTCAGAAGGCCAGGTGAGAGTAACATATGTCCTGAGCAACTCCTCTCAAAGTGTGGTCCACAGACCAGCAACATCTATGTTAAAACTACAGATTCTTAGGCTCCACCATGACCAGCTGAATTAGAATCTCTAGGGCTGGGGCCTAAGAATCTGCATGTTTACTAGCTCTCTTGATAGCTTGAGGCTCAGTAAAGTTTAACAACTCATGTCCTAGAGGATCAAGAAAGGATCTTCCCCCAAAATCTTAACCTTTCCTCAACTTCAGCAGTGCCAATTTCTGCATAGCTGCCCCTTTGCTGATACACAGAGTTGTACCCATGGTCACCCCCTGCTGGACATCAGGAGCACCAGCGCTGATTTGTGGCATCCCACTTTAAAAAGACATCAGTTGTGCCGTCTGGACTCACTAAAAGCTACACGTTCCCCACTCAATATCAGACAAATAAACCTGAGAAGGCTTAACTGTGAATCCAGAAGGGATAGTTGTTCAGGAAAGCGCTTTGCAGTAGATGCTGAGAGACTGAGATCAAGGCCTAATTGCACCATTAAATCAAAGTGACCTTGGGCAAACTCTTCCCATTAGGAATCTCAGTTTCCCCATTTTTACTTAAATTAGATGATCTCATAGACAGTCTTTTAGGGTGAAGAGGACTTTGGTAGCCATCTTATCTTACATCTTCTCTCTACAGATGTGAAACTGAAGGACCAAATGAGCCATCCAAGGTCACAGCCTAGATGCTGTCCGGGAGTTCCTTCTGGCTTTAACGTCCTTGATGCTAGAAGCAGGATGGGAGCGGGTGGGGGGGGGGTCACTAAAGGATGGTGAGGAGAGGCAGCAGAGCCCAGGAGGACAATACCTTGAGGTTGGAGAGCTGCCCGAAGCTCTTGCTGCACACATTGCATTCATACAGGATTTTGCCATTCTCTTTCTTCAGCGGGTAAGGCAGGGCTGCCCGGGAGCCCAGTGGAGTCCGCTTTGCTGGAACCACGCTGCCAGCACGCTCTGGCCCTTGGGAGTAGGTCCTGGCGGCTCCAGGGCCTGGAATCCATGCCTGGGGGAGTTGGGTTTGGCCAGAGGCTTGGAAGGCCCCTGGGTAAGGATGCAGGATCTCACCCCAGGAGCTGTGGTGCCCAGACTCACTGACACTCATCAGCAAGCTGGGCACAGCCCTGATGGGGTAGGAGGTGTCTTGTGGCAACATGAAGACGGGGTGACATTGGACAGAAGGTGGGGCCCCATAGGCAAACAGGTAAGGTGGGGGCAGGAGAAATGGATACTCAGGACAGAGGGGATGAAGGTGAAATGGGAGTTCTTTGGAGATGAAAGTAGGCGAGGGGCAGGGGCAGAAAGCCAAGGGGTTGGGGTTCTTTCTATTCTGCCAGGGGGTTGAGGAAGAGCTGCTGTAAGGAGAGAAGGATGGGCAGGGGACCCCCTCGTCAGCTCTTTCTTCCTGGCTTCCCATCTCGTCCCTGCTCAGAGGATACTTGGCTGTTAGTTTCTCGTCGTTGGGGGAGCCAGCATGTGGCCCTGGTGGCTGGTGCTCTGAGAAGGAAAGGGAAGCCAGTCAGGGCCCCACAGGCTGGGGTAAAAGTTCTGCCCCCCATCTAACCTGCCTCACTCCGGGTTGGGAGAGAGCTCTAGCCTGCAAGCCTGTTGGTTGACTGGGACAAAGCATTTCCCCCTCCCTGAACTTTCCTGGTTTGCAATTGCACTTGCCAAGAAAAGCAGCTAATATCTGTGCAGTGCCGAACAATTTTAGGGAGAGAAAACGATTCAAGAAGCCTGTTAGATAGCTACGTGGAGCAGTCAAGTGTGCAGTTGGATGAACTGGTTTGGAGTTTCAAAGAGAGGTCTGAGCTGGAGTATAAATTTGAGCTCCAGGGGCCCAGATGATATCACATGGGGACGACACTAGATCTGCTGTGTCCAAAATGGACACAGCAAGTCTACGTTGAAATTAATGAAAATAAATCCAACAGAAAATTCAGCTCCTTGATGACACCAGCCATATTGAAAAATCTCAATAGGTATGGTATTGGACAGCCAGGTATAGAACATTTCCATTATTGCAGGAAGTTCTGCCATACAGCACTACTGTAAATAAAGAGAACAGGAGAGCCGAGGAGGGAAAGAAGGGGTGGGGGGAGAAGAGGAGGGTTGGGGGAGGGAGAGAGGAAGAACAGGTGAATATTTAGGAGGTAGGTAGAGAAGAGCTTAGCAGGGAAGACTGAGATGCAACAGCCAGTAAGGTAGGAGCTGACCAGGAGTGATATAAAGTAAAATACTAAAAAGAAAAAATATTAAAAAGTAGATTGTCTGCTTGGATTGTCATTCATTTACTCAAGCAACTTTTTGCTTTGTGCTCTGGCAGGGTGGATAGCGGTGATAAATGAGTGCAGTCCCTGCCCTCCAGGAGGTCACAGTGGCCTAAGGAGATAGCGTATTATAATGCAACAGCATAGAACATGGGGACAGTGAGAGCTTATTTTATGGAAGGGGAAATGGGCCTCCGTGATGTGTTCAAGGTCTTTGAGCTAAAGAGGCAGCACCAGGACTCCACCCCAACTCCCTGAGTCCCAGTCAGGGCTCCTTTCCCATAATAAAGACTCCTCCAGCTAAACAGGTACGCAAGCACCATCCTCAACCCACCTGCACCCGATCCCACCCCCATGCCTGAGAAAGCCATCGCCTACCTCCTCTGGCTCAGGTGTCACCAGCTTGAAAGATCCCTGCATCCCTAGGTCAGAGCTCCAGGCCAAGGTGTGCTAGTTTACTGTGCCTGAGGCTCCATCCTTACTGATGATACTCGATCCCCTCCGCTTCCCGTCCCAAAACCTAACAGTGCCCCCCACCCCCAGCCTCCACCAAGGTGCAGCTGCATGGCCTGGGCTTACTTGTGCTCAAAGAGTCCTCTCTGAGACCCTGTGGGGCTGTGCTTGGGGGTGCCAGCTGCGGAGTGCATAGGTAGAGGTCCGGGCCCTGGGAGCAGGCCAGCAGGGCAGACCTGGCTGGTACCAGTGGAGAGGGGCACAGCCAGCTGGCACAGGGTGGGCCATGAATGTCCACTGTGTCTGGAATCGGCCTACAGACTGGAGAGACCTGGAGGGTAAGGGGCAAGGGGCTGGGGGCTGTGACTCTTGGGTCCCTGGGAGGAGCCCATCTCTACCCTGGTTTCCAAAGAGAGGGGAGAAGCTAAGAACCACTCGCCCTCACCATATGTATCACTCAAATCACTTCCCTTTCTCTCATCCAAAGATTTCTTTCCCCAGGGGCTTTCATGCCTACTCCAGAATTACCTTTCCTCTGTTCCTAGAACCCCTTATCTAGCATTCTCCCTCCCACTTCTCTTCCTGACCGCCCTGATCCTACTGTGTCTCAGGCCGTCTACTATGTTTTGAGTGGAGTCAAGGTGAACTTGGAGAAAACCCTCATAAAAAATGTAAACTCTACAAGATGATCCCTAAGGCCAAGGCCAGGATCAAACAACCAAGCCTCCTGCATGGCCCTGTCCCTTTCTTATGGTCCACAGGACAGTCTGGCTCCTAGGGCACGGGAGAGGGTCTCCAGCACCTCCAGGGCCCACCCCCATGATGTGCTGGGGTAGGGGTGCCCAGGACCAGTGGATGGTAGGAATCCAGGTCCCTTCAGATTTTCCCCCACTTCCTTCTAACATCCCCTCCCTCCACAGCAGACTGACCTCAAAGTTAGGGCTGGGATTCCACCTTACCTGGTCACCTTTGCAAGCCTGGAAGTCCAGACTGGGGGACAGGGTGCTCCCTGTTCTGCTCAGGGGTTTGGTCTTGTGGCAACAACCCAGTTCTGGAGCAGGTTCCCCCTTCATGCCCCTACTACCTGCTGGGAAGACAAATCAGTCACAGGTGAGCAGTAAATTTGGAGCAGGTCCTCTAAATAGCATGGCTCCAAGGGCAGATTCTCCATCAAACCACCGTGTGACCTCAAGCCATTCACTGGCCCCCTGGCCTTAGTTTCCCTATCTGCGAAATGGAAGAGTTGGACCCGCTGATGTGTGAGGACTCTCTCAGTGCTGACATTTAGAAGTCAACGATCTGTTCCTGGTAGGTACAGGAAGAGGATCGAGTGGAGACCAGCCATTCAGAGGTGAGGAGCAGAGCTGGCCTGATTCCCTTCACAGGGGAAGAGAGGAGAGACAAAGGTCTTCATGAAGGTTATTACCAAGTGCGCTCAGAGATCTGAGGGAATATTCCAGACTCCTTGGGGCCACAGGTAATTAAGAAGCCACTCTCCTCCGTGATGGGAGGGACACATGACTCTCTCGATGACTCTACCAACCACAGGTGCCCCACCAAGGGCAGCTCTCCACCAAGGAGAATTGCATTCTAGCTCACCCACATAGCTTTTCTGGGCAGCTAAGGAAGCCCCAGTGTCCTGCCGCCCAGACTGCCCCGGCTCAGCTCTGTCACCACGGTCAGCGTACGAGAGCGGGCCAAGAGTCCTTCAGGTCCGCTGACTGGCCTGCTGGGAAGATGCCCTGAGTGCTCAGCTGTCTGTTCAGCTAGCACCTCGCTTCTCTGCCGTCTTTCACCGAAGGTCACAAAGCACTCAAATCACCTCAGCTCAGCAAACACCCCAAGGCCCTTCCCCTTTCCCTCAGTAACTGCATTCCCTCTTTACCCCAAGTGTCCCTGGGGATCCCAGCACCCTCCAAAACCCAGACTCCTTTCCTTTTCCCCAACTCCTCCCAATCCTGTCCCAGGTCTCAAAACAAACACCCCAAAAGGAGGGGCCTCCTGCTTGAGGCTCTTCACCTGGCTCCGCAGAAGTCCTCCTGGCCGGAGAAGGAAGGAGGTGGGCAGGCGGGTAGCTGCTGTCTGTGGCTGAGGCCCCAGTGTGTGCAGAGAGATGACAGGAAGGTGTTATGTTTGATGTTGCCACAAATAGGAAGAAGAGGGCAGGCTGGAGGCCCTGTGAGACCTGACAAAGGGAGCCGCCCTCTAGCCTTTACCTACCTGTGGCAACTCTACAGGACAACATGCTGGTATGGTGGGTGGGGGGGAAGTTTCTGGAAACACTTTACAGATTATTGAGCATCCCTTCCTCTTTTCACGTCATGTTTCAGCTCTAATCCAGTGTTTCCCAATTGGTGGCTGAATAATCCCTCAGGGACACCAAGTTACTGCAAGAGGTCAGAGATGCTTCACGCTCATCACTTTCTGTGAACTGAATAATAAAATGACTGGCATGGAGATGTACTCCATCTAAATGTATGTGTGTGTCGTTAATTGAACGTGCTGGTTTTTGAACCACCGTGAACTGGCAGGCCACTGGAATTTTAGTATGTGGGGGTGAAAAGGAGAGAAGAGTTGCTATCTCTGGTCCTTGGGAAGTGCTCATGGATGGGAACTAGGGTTGAGGGGCCTTTCGGGGTGAGTGGGAATCACTAGGGAGGCCTTTGAAGAAAAGCTGCATCTGAAGTGGGGACAAGAGCTGAAGGCATAGACAGGGGTCCTCAGGCTCCTGGGTTATAGTGTATTTAATTAATTATTATTAAATAAGTAATGTAATTAATAATTACAAAATAACACATAATAGTGGTAAACATTTCAAACAACGTAGAATGTAGAGACAAAAAGGTGGAAGCTCCCCTCCTTCACAATTTTCCAGGAGTCATTGTGAATTGTTTGATGTTTATCCTTCTAGATATGTTTGTATGTATGTATGTATTTTAAAGATTTTAATTATTTCTTTTTAGAGGGAGGGTAAGGGAAGGAGAAAGAAAAGGAGAGAAATACTGATTAGTTCCTTCTCCAGAGACTGGACCTACAACCCTGGCATGTGCCTTGACTGGGAGTTGAACCAGAGACCTTTCTCTTTGTGGGACAATGCCCAACCAACTGAGCCACATGGTCAGGGCTATCCTTCCAGACCTTTATCTACAAACCCACAAACAGGTAGATAGCATTTTTTTTAAGATTTTATTTATTTATTTTTAGAGAGGGAAGGGAGGGAGAAAGATAGAGAGAGAGAAACATCAATGTGCGGTTGCTGGGGGCCGTGGCCTGCAACCCAGGTATGTGGCCTGACTGGGAATTGAACCTACGACACTTTGGTTCGCAGCCCGCACTCAATCCACTGAGCTACGCCAGCCAGGGAGGTAGATAGAATTTTTAATTTTGTTTTACATTCAAATGGATTATATGACGCATACTGTTCTTCAGCTTTTTCTATTCAACAGTCTACTGTGGTCATGATTTCATGTCAGAACATATACATCTGTCTCCTGCTTTTTCCTGACTGTGTAGTATTCTATTGCAGGCATGGACATAATACTCAGCATTCCTCTATTGGCAGACTCCAATTTTGCCCTGTTCCATGCAATACTGAAAAGAACCTCCATTCAGAGGTTAAGAATATTAGCTCTGCTGGATTTAATCCTAGCTTTGTGACCTTATGGCAAGTCATTTATCTTTTTTTCTCATCGGTCAAATGGAGATAATAATAGTTTTTGCCTCACAGGATTTTTCTTTGAAGATTCCACAAGCTAATTCACATAAAGCTCTGGCCCTAAGCAAGCACTCGACAAATGTGAATGGTTTACAGTTAATATTGTACATTAATCTTTGTCTCAGTAGGCAAGTATCTGCCAGTCAGCTTCCTAAAAGGGTTAAAAGTGTGATAGATGTTTCTGGCTCACTTTGAAAGACCAGAATGTGGGCAGCACGCATGGGGAGATGAACTATATTCATCTTTGTTCCCTTGTTTATGAAAACCTGGATGGAGACCATTGCTCTCATCCAATGTAGCCTTCCCCAGTCTACACACTACAACAATACTTGCTCTAGGCATTCAACCCTCGACTCGCCATGTGCCAGGAACCCTGCAAAGCATTTCAACATGCTTTGTTTAACTCCATCAGCACAATGACTCTACAAGATGGATGTAATTATTCCTGTTTTACAGGCAAGAAAACTGACACTCAGAGAAGGAAAGTGACCGATTCAAGGTCACATCACCCAGGTTGGGGCTGTGACATCTCCAGAGGGGAAGAACAGCTCACAGAAGAGTTGCTGCAGGGGCACCTAGGAAGAAGTAAAAGGGACCGCAAACGTGGTATAGTAGAGTCTGGATTCCCTTCAAGAGCCAAAGAGCTTCCAGAAAAATGAAAAGTGACAGAGGCCCAAATTAAGGACTGGGGAAATGAGCTGTGGTATTAGCACCTAGCACTCTACAAGAACCTTTCATTGATTCATTCACTTATTCATTCATCTATTTCTTGATTGCCAGCTATGTAATCAGGCATTGGGCTAGTTGCTTGGAATACAGCCCATAGGAACATAACTCAGACCTTGGAATTTACAATCCACTTATCAGAAGGCTTGTGGGATGTTGCTGAAATAGAAAACAGTGTGTGACCATCAGGGCTTATTATTGTAGGGTGGGGGCTCAGGAAGCAAAGTAGAGCCAAGCGTGTCAGGTTGGCTTGTGCAGTAACAAAGAGAAGAAATGGGACTACAGGCAGAAGCCCTACTTCCTCTTTGAAAACCTCAGAGACTCTCTAATCCATAACCACTGCCGCCTCCAACCTTGAGGCCAGCCAGCTGAGCTCCCGGCTAGCTCAGTGCATGGGACCTGGAGCTCTGCTGCATGGATACTTTTGAAGGACATCAAGGAAGGAGTCCAGGAGGGGGTCTGGGTCCATCACTGGTCCAGAGGGTTAAGCAGCTGTGTGTGGAATGTGACTCTGAGGACAGGGTTGAGGGTGGGGAGCTCAGCCCAGTGCACAGTGCTCTCGTTTCACTTTGCTCTGTGGTTGACACCTGCCTCCCTCTGCCTGACACCCACTTATCTCATCTCACCGGACAGCCCAGCTGTCAGTCTGTCAGATGCAATGAGTTGGACTTTGGCTTCACACCCTGGGGTGGAGAGATCTTGAGATAGGGCATGCCTGCTTTCACATTTGCAGAAGGAGCCTCAAGACTCTTGCATCTTCCCCTACACCCACTCGTGACTTTCCAGTCCCTCTGTGGGAAAATTTGCAGATATGCCTTCAAATTAATTCTGAGGTCATCTCACCAATCCTCTCATCTCTTCCATCCTAGAGAATAGGAGATAAAAAAGAGGTCACATCGCTGGGTTTCAAACCCACTGAAGCTGATATACTGTTAACCACCATGCAATGCTGCACACCATGCCATGGATGCCCTTTCCACCCTCGTGTGAAATGGAAAAATTCAAGTCCACCTATTTGCCCACCATTAGAAGAATGCTACGTATTATGTATGGCTATGCGACAGAATACCATGCAGCCAGGAAAAAGCGAAGAGTACATTTATTGAGTGTATCCTATATGCCAAATCTCTTCACAATTTTATCTCATCTAATCTTCCTCAAAATCTTCCAAGGTAAGAATTATTAATGTCTCCATTTTATACATGAGAAAACATTCAGTAAAGGTACCAGGTAGTATCAATTCACATACTTACAGTGGCCATGTCATAATGTTAACATAATATTATCCAGCAATGAATATGATACAGACAGTACCTGACACTTAGCTTTGGTGTCAGGATTGACAGGCAACGATGGGGACTGAGACAAACCAGAGAACCAGGGGCCATTTGCCATGACTCAGCATAATTAGGTACCAGTGTGGCCAGATTCAGACTTTTCTAGAGATTTTAAAATCAGGATTTTAATGTAAAATCCCTAGATTTTTTCCAAAGTTGGTTCAAATGTTTTAAAGTAATATGCTCGTCAATCAGGAGGGATCTGCATGCCAGATTCAGCTGCCTCTGCCCAAGATCCCAGGAGCCCAGGACTTTCTTTGTTTCCAGTTATTTCCAAAAGATACAATCCAAATGGAGTCTACCACACATTCAAAGAATTAATGTCAATTATTTACAGAGTTTTCAAAAAAACAGAAGAGGGAACAGTTCCCAACTCATTCTATAAGGCCAGTATTACCCTGATATCAAAACCAAAGACCTCACAAGAAAACAAAACTAATATCCCTTAAGAATATATTGAATAGATGAAAATCCACAACAAAATATGAGCAAACAGGATCCAAGAGCACAAAAGAAGGACTATACATCATGACCAAATGGGATTTATACCAGAAGTGGTTTAACATCCAAAAATCAATTAATGTAAGGTACTATGTGAATAGAATAAAGGACCAAAACCACATGATCATCTCAATAGATGCAGAAAATGTACTTGACAAAATTTAAGACCATTTCATAACAAAGAGCATTTACCCAGCTACAGATAGAAAAGTTCCTCATGGTGACAAGGGCATCTACAAAAAATACACCACCAACATTGTACTTAATGGTGAAAACATTGTTGCTTTCACTCTCACAGCAGACACAAGACTAGGATATCCACTCCCACCACTTCTTTTTTTTATTATATTTTATTGATTATGCTGTTACAGTTGTCCTGATTTTTCTTTCCCCTTTTGCCCCTCCCCCACTCAGCAACCCCCACTCCCTCAGGCAATCCCTTCACCATTGTTCATGTCCTTGAGTCATACATATAAGTTCTTTGGCTACTCCATTTCCTATACTGTACTTTACATCCCCGTGGCTATTCTGTACCTATGTGTACTTCTTAATCCCCTCACCTCTTCACCTATTCCCTCCCACACCCCTCCCACCAGGCAACCACCAAAACACTCTCTGTATCCATGATCCTGTTTTTCTATTTTTAAGGTTTTATTTATTTATTTTTAAAGAGAGGGGAAAGGAAGGAGAGGGAGAGAAACATCAATGTGTGGTTGCTTCATGCATGTGCCCTAGTGGGGACCTGGCCTGAAACCCAGACATGTGCCCTGACTGGGAATCGAACCAGCAACCCTTTGGTTCACAGGCTGGCACTCAATCTGCTGAACTGTATACCAGCCAGGTCTGTTTTTGT